GCAAGTGCACTATTGAACATAGGCTTTCCCCAAGGAACCCCTCAAAGCACGGTTCCGAGCCACCTGCATCCTTCGACTCCCGCACATCTTACCAGGTCGTCACTCCATCCAGTGAGTGACTAGACTTCGCTTGCCGGTACGAGGCTCGAGAAACTTTCTTCCCCATCAGTTGTCCGTCCTTCAAGCTATATGGCAGACATATTGTCACTTCGACTTACTAGCTTTTGATAATTGCTTATAGCCCAACGGAGTAGTAATAATCTGTAACAAGGGATTAGTTTTTACTGTTAGAACTGATAAAGAACTCAACAGAAATTTCAATGTTGTAGTTTAAATAATATTTTTAGTAACATTTACACTCATAAAGCAACTTGGATAACCGGTAGACCTGAGAGAAGTAGCCGAATAAAGCTATGATTTTCCAGGATTGCGGTGCCGAAATATAATTCTACTATATATTCTTTTACTAATCTTTACTTGTTAAATTAAAATATCTCTTATCCGCGATCATAATCTCGAACAGTAAAACGCGGAGGGTTTTATAATAATACGGTAATAATATTTTTTATTCAGACTTAGTCCATAGAGATCTTAGTATAAAGTTATTTTATTCTTATAAACTAGTGTTAATATTTAAAATAAAATTTATATTTTTAGAGTGTTCAGGATACTGTTGGAATGCACTTGTGAGGTACGTAGTAGACTCAGTAACGAAGCAGACCTTTTAGATGATAAAATGTATGAAAAGTCATGAAAGTCATCCGTGTGCGCCTCAACGAAAATGGCAGAGGCACTACAATAACGAGGCAATCCCAACAACACCCTGAACCACAGAATAAATAATATTACTATGTACAGAAGTAGCATTCCTTTAATTTTGGCTGCTTGCCGACGTTTAATAGCCTACATAATTAGTATTCATTAAATAAATCGCGCACGCAAGATAAATAAAACTTTATCGCTGCGCGCGATTGTCCATATTAACTTGCATTTTCCACCTTCCTACATCACGGCGGACTTTCCGTGGTTACTAATGAATGCCAATAAAGAGCAAAAAATACATCGCGAAATGTTTATTAAGTTACTTAGGTGAAGTGTCTATTCTGACTATGATGGACTGACCATATTTTCGCACCTATGTGAGTTCTGCAATGCCCAAGGCTAATGAATGCAACTTGCAAGCCATTCGTCGGGAATCGCGATGTTTGGCTCGGAAGAAATAGCAAATAAACCTCAAATACGATTCCAAACAGAAATGTGATCGTGTTCCAAACAAAGTTTTAATTTAAGTGTTATGTGTTATAATTAATTAAAATAATTTAATTTCAAAAGGCAAGTATTGGTATGTAAATAGATAGGGACGTGGGTATGAAATTAAATTTCAACTAAGTTTGGTAATAAAGTACGTAGGTATTACTTCGGTAGATAAATTATTACTTAATTCTTTTTTTGCTACAAGTACCTAAAACTGTAATAAAATCACCTTTTACAGCTTCCTAATAAATTCCTTCGGTAACTTAAAAAGATTCATATATCTGAATATTGGACACGCTGGACACTATATGCCCGCCGCGTATATCTAACCCAAAAGCTGCATGGTAAAAAGCAGCGACAGTAGCCTAATGGCAGGCCGCGAACCACGAACTCAATAAGGTCGTGGGTTAGAATCCGCCATCCGACTACTGGCAAGGACCACTCGTAACACAAGCAAATTAAGTTTACCACGAGTGTTAAGGGGAATATTAGTAATTGTTTATAGCATTGTTAATATTCTTTTTTTATAAAAAAGCACGAACAATACGCTTTGTAAAGTGTTAATTTTACTTCATAAGTACTTCGTGCACACCTGTGGGTCAGCATACTATAGCAAACAGCCAATGCCCTGCGTTCCCTTTATATATCTAAGTCATCCTCTAAGTCCTCTGTTACCCAGTGACCTAGGTACTTAAATTTGAAGATCATCTCCAAAGTATAACAGGAGGCATGGTGACATATGTTTTAGTAACTGAATTAAATATCATAAGGTCGCTCTTCGTTACAATATACTTAAGCCAATGGGTCTTTTGTTATTTTTATAGGAGAGGGCTCAAACGAGTATAAGGCTCACCTGATGGTAAGTGATTACCGCCGCCCACGCACAACTGCAACACCTGGGAAATTGCTGATGCGTTGCCGGGTTTTAAAAAGGAGCAGGCTCTTTTCTTAAAGATCTGGTCTGGTCTGGTCTGGAAAAATCTCTAGTGGTTGTCGATTCTACAAGGAAGTTGTGTGAGGAAGAAAATTTCTTTTAAATCGCACTGTGGTGGACCGCCAGTCATCGAAATGGTATGGATGGTATTGCGAGTTTTGTCGAAATGTGTGATGGTGAAACTGTGCGGCTTTAATAAGTCCGAACAATTCTTCAGAGCACTCCCAGTGGTAAATGCGATAAAATACGAAAAGATATACAACATCTCTTCGCAGCGCCAGTGAATCGAGCCGATCGGAAAGCACTCGGTCGTCGACGATTCAAGCTGCTCTGCGCTGGATGCGATCGAATGGAAGGAGCTTGCACTAGAGAGCCTCAGCCGAGAGATGGGAACAGTATTCCATGTGCAGCTCAACCAGCCCCTTGTAAAGTTGCAGGCGGTGTGCCGGCATGTCATACTGTCCCGCTCCGCTGAGCACGTCAAACTTTTTGGAGGCCAATTCAGCCTTCTCTTCCAAGTGCGTACGATTCGCAGATCCCTGAGAGTCTTCTGAGTATACCCATCGTGGTGCTCGGCAGCACCACGTCATCTGCATAGCTTATATTATTTATAACAAATCCGTCTATTTAATAACCGAACTTATTGCTGCTGAGCTCCGCAATCAGATTTTTAATATGAAGGTTAAAAGGCGTAGGCAAACTCAATCCTCCTTGTCTAACGCTGCATTCCAACCTCTACTTCATAGAAAAGCTGCTATCCTGCTATTAGTCGATGACGGTAAATAGTGGATTAACATCTTTAAAAAAAAAGATATATTATATTTCTATGTCAGTCCGTAATCATGCCACTTCTAGTCATGATTTGAATTTCGATAGATTTTAAATAATTTATTTCAAAGTTTTTGTTTTCAAATTGTACTTACGTTTAATTGCAACAAAAATTATTAGTATTACTTCTGGGTATAAATAGAGTATTCTCATCTGGTTGTGCTGTATAAATATATAAAAAGAAGTGATAAAGTTACATAAATATATATATTCAATATAGTAACATAAATAAATGAATAATACATAAACAGACAAAAGCCCATCCAGATAGAAGCCCTCGACAGAGGCAATTAAACGGCCAAGGGTTAGGAGGAAATGGATAAATTAATAAATCATTAATATTATTATTATCTATCTATTATATTGAGGTTGAATTTGAAGTCGCTGTGCATTGGCTGTGTTAGATGATCCAGCACACCATGTCATCGCGCGTTCACTGCCAGTCATAGCAACTGTGTCAGAGAGATAGAAGGGAAAGGAGAGCAGTATGGATTGAAAATCTGTAATATATTTAATAATTCGTAATTATTTTCAATTTGACATTTGCAAGCTGTTAATTGTCATAGCCTCACTTCAGTACAGGTAAGCACCGTTGCAACCGCAACCACAGTTTCCGCCGCAGCTTCCGGCGATGGAGACAACACCACCAGCTGGAACTTCACCACCGAATCTAACAGCACCCAGAATCGGAACCTGTCCACCTATTAAGGTGCTACCAACGACACCCATATCGCCAGCGACCACTACGTCACCAATGCCTACGCCTCCGTAGGCTGGGCCAGCAATACCCGCTTGGTAGCCAAGGGCGCCAGGCCCAGCGAGACCGTATCCAAGACCGATTCCAGGTCCATAAGCTATTTCAGAAGCTAAAGTAGATCCACATCCCAACCCGTATTCAGCAGTCAATCCTGGACCATAACCCAATCCAAGTCCAGCTCCGAGACATTGACTGTATACATTCTGAAAATGGAGCAACATCTTTACAATGTGCTGTAACACTTTTAACTGACTGTGAGAAGTAAAAGGATAATTGAATTATTTTCAATAGTAATTATCGATTTATGGAACATGGTGACTAAAAGTAGGTTTTCTTTAATTTTTTCCAATTGCATAAAATTATTATTAACCAGTAAGATTACAATAAATTTGCAAAAGTTTTACCTGGATCAAGCACGCTTGAACACAGAGCAGGAAGAAAGCGAAAGAAGACATGTTTCAGGCTTTTTCAACTATACCAAGTTTAGAGTGATTAAAAAATGTAATAACAATGCATTATATACTCTTTATTCCCTGTAGGATTAAAAATAATTTCGTAATTATAAAAAGTAAATGTAAACGTATTTCGTAAAATAATTATATCGGTGAGACATTGACCTGTGAAACAAGTGAAACACTTGTTGTGGAACGTGACAAGGTTTGATTTATGGTTCAAAAACTAATTATTAAATAAAAAGTGCGGAAAAACAGCTGCATATACGCTATACGCAGAAGATGGGTTTAAGCAAAAATTGGAAATATATATCAAAGACTATGTGTTCCAATGTTAGTTCTCCACAACAATAGGAATTATTTAACTTGACAGGGAGTAAAACAGACCAAAGACCCCTCCAAAACTTTCGAAGGTCTTATTAATATAAAATTGCACAAAACTTATATAAAATAATAGATTGTTGAGCATAACACTACTATGAGGAAATAATGAAGATTTTAAATTAGTTCTTTAAATTTAAAAGCTCATAAAATTGTGATGATTTATTTTTATTTATAAATAGATTTGTTGAAATTTAGAAATTTAATATTATCTTCTCTTAATAAGTTTTATGATATGTAATAGTTTTTGTTTTACGAGTAGGCTCTTCGTGTTTGTCACGTATAAGGGAACATGGAATTGCGTGATATTATTTCAAAAACATTTCAGTTCTGCTATATATAACCCAATCGGCTCAAATCATACTCACACTCGTTTCCACTTAATACAACAAATATGTGTGCCAAAGCATTCATTCTTTTCTTCGCTCAAGCGCTCATGGTTCAGGTAAGCACAAACAATACTAAACGCTTTAATACAAATAAATTTTTCCAATTCCAAATATAACAATTAATTAAATAAAAATAAGAAGCTATTGCAAGCGCTTTTATTGCAGCGGCTTTGGATTTTAATAAAAATAATAACAGTTGCAATTTGAGTAGTTACAAGAAGTTAATGCAATATAACTTAGCTTTTTAATTAATATTCAGACCATAACTGCCTACTGCTTGGGCAACGGACTGGCCTACGAAGGTTCCTTGATTGATGGTGCTCCCTGCGGCTGCCAATGGGGTGGCTTAGGCTTGGCTGGTTACGGTGCCGGTTGCGGTCTAGCTGCAGTTCCAACTGCTAGCGGCGGTGGTTTCCCTGTCGCCAGCGCGTCTCCCATCCCGCCTGTTGGAGTATCTGTTCTCTCAGAGAACGAGATCGGAGGAATCCTGTCTGCCTTTGGTGAACTTCCTTTCCTAGGCACCGTTGGTCTGGAGGGTGTGCTTCCAACTGCTGGCGCTGGTGCCGTCTCTTACAGTTGCGGAAACGGTGCCGTAGGTATAATAAGCGAAGACATTTCCGCGTCCACTTTGGGCTACCCGGTCAACGCTGGATTGGGTTACGGACCTGGTCTTGCTAACGGATTCGGTTACGGTCCCGCTTTCGCTGGACGCGCCATCGGAGGTTGCGGATGCGGTATCTACTAATAACCCTTTTCCCTAAAAATCATACATGAAATTAAAAAATAAACTTTGCATATCAGTTTGTATTTTCATTGATTATTTTAATTATGAAGTATAAGTAAATAAGTAAACAATAAGATAAGATAGTTCTGACGTTGCTGTGATCGAATTTTATGTATTTAGTGTAAATAGCATTTTTCTAGCATAATTTCATGTTTAATCTTAATATTATTGCCTATTTAATTTCATATTGTGTGGACAATAATTTGATGTTCAAGTAATAACACAGTGAACATCCCTGCCGGCGACTGTGTCAACACCATATTATTTAAGTGCAATTTTCACGTTACGGAATTCCACTGACATAAAATGACTAATCGATATTTCTGAAACTCAAAAACAATAGAAGCTTCACTTCTAAAAGAATGTATTACTTTGAGCATCAACTTGGCACTGCCTCGACCAAACCAGAAAATCTTGTGCAAATTAATAAAGAATTTAATGCTTTTCGCGTTCAGGAGATCTTCAAGCGAATGCGACAGCAATTCATCAATTGTATCAATTTGGAGGTGAGCGAGTTAGCCGATTCATTGGAAATGAGACACCGAAAGAAAACCTCATCCTTAGCGGAGTATCTGAAAAGGCTGATGAGAATAAAGCTGGTATTGTTACCACAATATTAAAAAACAACCTTGGTCTCAACGACATCACAGCCTTCTCTTTTATGGTTGTACACGGACTTGGATCGACATTTACGGGCCAAAGTAGGCCTGTACTTTTTAGACTTACTGATTCATCCCTCCGCTATACACTTTGGAGGAAAAAGGCTTCACTTAAGGGCACACTCTTTGTACTTTCTGAATTCCTAACTAAACAACGCAAAGCTGTAATCATGGAAGAACGCTAACTTTTTCGGTATGCGTAATGTTTGGACGTTGGACGGAAACATCACGATTGAATTGCCAGATGGTAACCGGCAAATAAGTGTTTACTTCTGAAGACCTTAAAAAGTTTGTTCTTGATAAGAAATCGGATCCTGTCGGCCAGTTGTTATCAGGTGTCATGCAGCTCGTGCATCATGAAATGTAGTTGTAGCACGAATGGGTCGGCTCGTAGCTTAATGCTGCTGTGTTTCGTATGGTGGGTGTAGAGATCCGGAGACCCTTTTTACCGGAAATGAGGCATTCCACCTATGTCCTCACAGATGACAACGCACCTGCATTTTGATTCGTAATCGAGGATAGATGTAGACGTCTATGGGCCACAGCAACCGCTTACCATCAGGTGGACTGTGTGCTCGTTTGTCATCCTATCCTATAAAAAAAAATCCAAAAAAAAATCAGGAAAGTCTGAACTAGCATATACCAGACGTGCTTGTAAGATTAAATAATGTGTTTTTTTTTGTGGAAACTCTGTAGTGAAATCTCATGTCAATCATAATTGTTTTACTGATAAACTAATTGCAATATATTAAGTTGTTTATATAACTAAAGATACAATTTACTTAGACCCTATTGTCAGTCTTCCATGGGCTTAATTTTATATACCTAGTGTTTAAGTTCTGCTTAAAACTTCATAACTTTTTCTTTCAACTCTTTTTATCTTATATATTTTTATTATAGTCAAACATAAGAAGACAATTTTTGGTCTATTTAGTGTAGTAATAATAAGCATTTGTTTATTTTTAATTAGGATCATTACTTTTGTTTTAAGCGTCTTGTTTTATTCCTTACACCAGATTAAGAAGTTACTATTTCTATTCATAACCTAAAATTACATAATACTTAATTATAGTGATTTCATTAGGTACATAATACATTAGGTCTAGGATTTAAGTCATTACATTATATACTCAGATGAAGTAAAAAAAGAAGATATCGCACCTAGAACAAGAAACCGTAACCAATTTTATAACTTAGTGTGGGTCAGAGAAGTGTTGCTACTTTTTTTTAAAAGTCCCTGAAAATCGAGACACAATACTATTACTATGAGAGTAATATGCTATGTGAATGCGAAATTATATCTGTCTGTTTTAGTAAATTTCAACAATTTGACAACTAAAAAAAAGATGAAGCTCCTAGGAGGCGTCTGTAGATCATTTAAAAGTCTTCTTGATAGATTGTCCAGTGAGCATGTAAGCATCGATAAAATATACAAAATATGTAATGTAAAACATGTTTATTATAAAAATAATTTAATACTAAAAAAAACTGGTTGGAATAAAAAATAAATTTCCATGGAGTTAAAAATATACTTTTCTAAATGAAAAAAAGTATATTTTAGTAAATGCAAAATAAAACAAACTCCAGCCGGGGGGCACAAAGGAGTGTTCTAATTTGTACCCCGGGTATAGGGTTTGGGTCCCTGGACGTCTCGTGTCTCGAAGTCCCAGGACTTTTCGTTATTTTAGTTGTCTCGATTCCCGGGACTTTCGGTTCGAGACTCGAGGCGAGACAAGATTGTTGAAATTATTATGTAATCATTTTTATTTTCAAATAATTGAAGGAGCCTAGAGCCATCTGTTAGTTCAATGTCTAGTCTACTACGTAACTAATGAGCAACAATAAATGTGTTTGCCGCGCTGCCATCATGCCGCTATATTAGTTGTTCTGTGACGTTGGGATTATGATTGTGTCTGTGTCAGTTGAGTCAATCGGTCGTCAATTTCATTTATGATGTGAATGTGGCGTGGTGTTTCTTTTTAACTCAGTTTACTACTGGATGTTAAAACAAGTGGAACGGTTTTTGAAGCTTAAAAATTGCGTGAAAAAAGCGTTGATTGATTTAAACATCTTAGATAATTGGAATAAAGACAATCTTCTTCTTTTGTAGTTAATTGTTGATTTGTTGCAGACAGTCAAGATAGCTGTGGGTGCTTTAGGCCGATAAAACGCTTCATTACTTACAGCTGTAGCAATAATCGACGAGTTGCTTAAAAAATTCAATCGACAACGACTATTAATGATTTGGCGAAGCGGTTCTTTGAAACTTTGAAAGCTCACCTAGAAAAGAGAAGACAACAATGAGTTGTATACTTGTTAAAATATTTGCACACTGGCCACCACACCTCATAGTCGCAAAACACGGACTTTTTTACCTCCAATATTAGTAAAACTGAACTAATTGGCTTTGCGGACCATCTGTAACATTACAAAATAAAAATACAAAAAGAAACAAAGGCTTTTCGAAAATATGCCTAGTATCAGGACACCAGATGTAGGAATAATGGGCGCTGAATCTAGTACTAGTAGATCTCAAGTACACAACGAGCCCGACGAGTATTTTTTAAATCAAATGGAACAAGAAAAATTTTCCTAAAAGTCTCCAAGTCCCGGGAATTCCCGGGACTTTGACTTTGACTGTAGGCTGTCTCGTGTCCCGGGACTTTGAAATTGTGAACCAGCCTACCTAACCTAATGTGAACCAGCTCTAAGGCTGTAATTACTGGATGGACGGACGGATGAATTGAAACAGTTGTTTATTGAGTCTGCGAGCTATTGCGAAAATAATACGTAATATTATTCAAGGAAATATATTATTATATTAATAAAATATAGATTTATATTAATAAAATTTAATGAAGCCAATAAGAATCCTCCCTGCATCTTGCTCTTGTTCTTGTTGTCATAATTTACACATCATGTCCTCTAAATGTATAGTTTTATTTTTTACGCACAAGGAATGCAGGTTTTCTCGTGACGCAAAATTTTTATAAACAAAGTTCGTGGTACCGGTGTCAAGTGAGCTCTTGCTCCCTTCAATTATCTATTCATCATCATCTTCAATGATGGTGTCATTTTAGCCTTTCGCAAGTGCACTATTGAACATAGGCTTTCCCCAAGGAACCCCTCAAAGCACGGTTCCGAGCCACCTGCATCCTTCGATGCCCCGCACATCTTACCAGGTCGTCACTCCATCTAGTGAGTGACTACACTTCGCTTGCCGGTACGAGGCTCGAGAAACTTTCTTCCCCATCAGTTGTCCGTTCTTCAAGCTATATGGCAGACACATTGTCACTTCGACTTACTAGCTTTTGATAATTGCTTATAGCCCAACGGAGTAGTAATAATCTGTAACAAGGGATTAGTTTTTACTGTTAGAACTGATAAAGAACTCAACAGAAATTTCAATGTTGTAGTTTAAATAATATTTTTAGTAACATTTACACTCATAAAGCAACTTGGATAACCGGTAGACCTGAGAGAAGTAGCCGAATAAAGCTATGATTTTCCAGGATTGCGGTGCCGAAATATAATTCTACTATATATTCTTTTACTAATCTTTACTTGTTAAATTAATCTCTTATCTGCTATCATAATCTCGAACAGTAAAACGCGGAGGGTTTTATAATAATACGGTAATAATATTTTTTATTCAGACTTAGTCCATAGAGATTTTAGTATAAAGTTATTTTATTCTTATAAACTAGTGTTAATATTTAAAATAAAATTTATATTTTTAGAGTGTTCAGGATACTGTTGGAATGCATTTGTGAGGTACGTAGTAGACTCAGTAACGAAGCAGATCTTTTAGATGATGAAATGTGTGAAAAGTCATGAAAGTCATCCGTGTGCGCCTCAACGAAAATGGCAGAGGCACTACAATAACGAGGCAATCCCAACAACACCCTGAACAACAGAATAAATAATATTACTATCTACAGAAGTAGCATTCCTTTAATTTTGGCTGCTTGCCGACGTTTAATAGCCTACATAATTAGTATTCATTAAATAAATCGCGCACGCAAGATAAATAAAACTTTATCGCTGCGCGCGATTGTCCATATTAACTTGCATTTTCCACCTTCCTACATCACGGCGGACTTTCCGTGGTTACTAATGAATGCCAATAAAGAGCAAAAAATACATCGCGAAATGTTTATTAAGTTACTTAGGTGAAGTGTCTAAAAAACGTTCTGACTATGATGGACTGACCATATTTTCGCACCTATGTGAGTTCTGCAATGCCCAAGGCTAATGAATGCAACTTGCAAGCCATTCGTCGGGAATCGCGATGTTTGGCTCGGAAGAAATAGCAAATAAACCTCAAATACGATTCCAAACAGAAATGTGATCGTGTTCCAAACAAAGATTTAATTTAAGTGTTTTGTGTTATAATTAATTAAAATATTTTAATTTCAAAAGGCAAGTATTGGTATGTAAATAGATAGGGACGTGGGTATGAAATTAAATTTCAACTAAGTTTGGTAATAAAGTACGTAGGTATTACTTCGGTAGATAAATTATTACTTAATTCTTTTTTGCTACAAGTACCTAAAACTGTAATAATATCACCTTTTACAGCTTCCTACTAAATTCCTTCGGTAACTTAAAAAGATTGACATATCTGAATATTGGACACGCAGGACACTATATGCCCGCTGCGTATATCTAACCCAAAAGCTGCATGGTACAAAGCAGCGACAGTAGCCTAATGGCAGGCCGCGAACCACGAACTCAATAAGGTCGTGGGTTCGAATCCGCCATCCGACTACTGGCAAGGACCACTCGTAACACAAGCAAATTAAGTTTACCACGAGTGTTAAGGGGAATATTAGTAATTGTTTATAGCATTGTTAATATTCTTTTTTTTAAAAAAAAGCACGAACAATACGCTTTGTAAAGTGTTAATTTTACTTCATAAGTACTTCGTGCACACCTGTGGGTCAGCATACTATAGCAAACAGCCAATGCCCTGCGTTCCCTTTATATATCTAAGTCATCCTCTAAGTCCTCTGTTACCCAGTGACCTAGGTACTTAAATTTGAAGATCATCTCCAAAGTATAACAGGAGGCATGGTGACATACGTTTTAGTAACTGAATTAAATATCATAAGCTCGCTCTTCGTTACAATATACTTAAGCCAATGGGTCTTTTGTTATTTTTATAGGAGAGGGCTCAAACGAGTATAAGGCTCACCTGATGGTAAGTGATTACCGCCGCCCACGAACAACTGCAACACCTGGGGAATTGCTGATGCGTTGCCGGGTTTTAAAAAGGAGTGGGCTCTTTTCTTAAAGATCTGGTCTGGTCTGGTCTGGAAAAATCTCTAGTGGTTGTCGATTCTACAAGGAAGTTGTGTGAGGAAGAAAATTTCTTTTAAATCGCACTGTGGTGGACCGCCAGTCATCGAAATGGTATGGATGGTATTGCGAGTTTTGTCGAAATGTGTGATGGTGAAACTGTGCGGCTTTAATAAGTCCGAACAATTCTTCAGAGCACTCCCAGTGGTAAATGCGATAAAATACGAAAAGATATACAACATCTCTTCGCAGCGCCAGTGAATCGAGCCGATCGGAAAGCACTCGGTCGTCGACGATTCAAGCTGCTCTGCGCTGGATGCGATCGAATGGAAGGAGCTTGCACTAGGGAGCCTCAGCCGAGAGATGGGAACAGTATTCCATGTGCAGCTCAACCGGCCCCTTGTAAAGTTGCGGGCGGTGTGCCGGCATGTCATACTGTCCCGCTCCGCTGAGCACGTCAAACTTTTTGGAGGCCAATTCAGCCTTCTCTTCCAAGTGCGTACGATTCGCAGATCCCTGAGAGTCTTCTGAGTATACCCATCGTGGTGCTCGGCAGCACCACGTCATCTGCATAGCTTATATTATTTATAACAAATCCGTCTATTTAATAACCGAACTTATTGCTGCTGAGCTCCGCAATCAGATTTTTAATATGAAGGTTAAAAGGCGTAGGCAAACTCAATCCTCCTTGTCTAACGCCGCATTCCAACCTCTACTTCATAGAAAAGCTGCTATCCTGCTATTAGTCGATGACGGTAAATAGTGGATTAACATCTTTAAAAAAAAAAGATTTATTATATTTCTATGTCAGTCCGTAATCATGCCACTTCTAGTCATGATTTGAATTTCGATAGATTTTAAATAATTTATTTCAAAGTTTTTGTTTTCAAATTGTACTTACGTTTAATTGCAACAAAAATTATTAGTATTACTTCTGGGTATAAATAGAGTATTCTCATCTGGTTGTGCTGTATAAATATATAAAAAGAAGTGATAAAGTTACATAAATATATATATTCAATATAGTAACATAAATAAATGAATAATACATAAACAGACAAAAGCCCATCCAGATAGAAGCCCTCGACAGAGGCAATCAAACGGCCAAGGGTTAGGAGGAAATGGATAAATTAATAAATCATTAATATTATTATTATCTATCTATTATATTGAGGTTGAATTTGAAGTCGCTGTGCATTGGCTGTGTTAGATGATCCAGCACACCATGTCATCGCGCGTTCACTGCCAGTCATAGCAACTGTGTCAGAGAGATAGAAGGGAAAGGAGAGCAGTATGGATGAAAATCTGTAATATATTTAATAATTCGTAATTATTTTCAATTTGACATTTGCAAGCTGTTAATTGTCATAGCCTCACTTCAGTACAGGTAAGCACCGTTGCAACCGCAACCACAGTTTCCGCCGCAGCTTCCGGCGATGGAGACAACACCACCAGCTGGAACTTCACCACCGAATCTAACAGCACCCAGAATCGGAACCTGTCCACCTATTAAGGTGCTACCAACGACACCCATATCGCCAGCGACCACTACGTCACCAATGCCTACGCCTCCGTAGGCTGGGCCAGCAATACCCGCTTGGTAGCCAAGGGCGCCAGGCCCAGCGAGACCGTATCCAAGACCGATTCCAGGTCCATAAGCTATTTCAGAAGCTAAAGTAGATCCACATCCCAACCCGTATTCAGCAGTCAATCCTGGACCATAACCCAATCCAAGTCCAGCTCCGAGACATTGACTGTATACATTCTGAAAATGGAGCAACATCTTTACAATGTGCTGTAACACTTTTATCTGACTGTGAGAAGTAAAAGGATAATTGAATTATTTTCAATATTAATTATCGATTTATAGAACATGGTGACTAAAAGTAGGTTTTCTTTAATTTTTTCCAATTGTATAAAATTATTATTAACCAGTAAGATTACAATAAATTTGCAAAAGTTTTACCTGGATCAAGCACGCTTGAACACAGAGCAGGAAGAAAGCGAAAGAAGACATGTTTCAGGCTTTTTCAACTATACCAAGTTTAGAGTGATTAAAAAATGTAATAACAATGCATTATATACTCTTTATTCCCTGTAGGATTAAAAATAATTTCGTAATTATAAAAAATAAACGTAAACGTATTTCGTAAAATAATTATATCGGTGAGACATTGACCTGTGAAACAAGTGAAACACTTGTTGTGGAACGTGACAAGGTTTGATTTATGGTTCAAAAACTAATTATTAAATAAAAAGTGCGGAAAAACAGCTGCATATACGCTATACGCAGAAGATGAGTTTAAGCAAAAATTGGAAATATATATCAAAGACTATGTGTTCCAATGTTAGTTCTTCACAACAATAAGAATTATTTAACTTGACAGGGAGTAAAACAGACCAAAGACCCCTCCAAAACTTTCGAAGGTCTTATTAATATAAAATTGCACAAAACTTATATAAAATAATAGATTGTTGAGCATAACACTACTATGAGGAAATAATGTAGATTTTAAATTATTTCTTTAAATTTAAAAGCTCATAAAATTGTGATGATTTATTTTTATTTATAAATAGATTTGTTGAAATTTAGAAATTTAATATTATCTTCTCTTAATAAGTTTTATGATATGTAATAGTTTTTGTTTTACGAGTAGGCTCTTCGTATTTGTCACGTATAAGGGAACATGGAATTGCGTGATATTATTTCAAAAACATTTCAGTTCTGCTATATATATCCCAATCGGCTCAAATCATACTCACACTCGTTTCCAATTAATACAACAAATATGTGTGCCAAAGCATTCATTCTTTTCTTCGCTCAAGCGCTCATGGTTCAGGTAAGCATAAACAATACTAAACGCTTTAATACAAATAAATTTTTCCAATTCCAAATATTACAATTAATTAAATAAATATAAGAAACTATTGCAAGCAGCGGCTTTGGATTTTAATAAAAATAATAAAAACAGTTGCAATTTGAGTAGTTACAAGAAATTAATGCAATACAACTTAGCTTTTTAATTAATATTCAGACCATAACTGCCTACTGCTTGGGCAACGGACTGGCCTACGAAGGTTCCTTGATTGATGGTGCTCCCTGCGGCTGCCAATGGGGAGGCTTAGGCTTGGCTGGTTACGGTGCCGGTTGCGGTCTAGCTGCAGTTCCAACTGCTAGCGGCGGTGGTTTCCCTGTCGCCAGCGCGTCTCCCATCCCGCCTGTTGGAGTATCTGTTCTCTCAGAGAACGAGATCGGAGGAATCCTGTCTGCCTTTGGTGAACTTCCTTTCCTAGGCACCGTTGGTCTGGAGGGTGTGCTTCCAACTGCTGGCGCTGGTGCCGTCTCTTACAGTTGCGGAAACGGTGCCGTAGGTATAATAAGCGAAGACATTTCCGCGTCCACTTTGGGCTACCCGGTCAACGCTGGATTGGGTTACGGCCCTGGTTTTGCTAACGGATTCGGTTACGGTCCCGCTTTCGCTGGACGCGCCATCGGAGGTTGCGGATGCGGTATCTACTAATTACCCTTTTCCCTAAAAATCATACATGAAATTAAAAAAATAAACTTTGCATATCAGTTTGTATTTTCATTGATTATTTTAATTATGAAGTATAAGTAAATAAGTAAACAATATGATAAGATAGTTCTGACGTTACTGTGATCGAATTTTATGTATTTATTGTAAAAAGCATTTTTCTAGCATAATTTCATGTTTAATCTCAATATTATTGCCTATTTAATTTCATATTGTGTTGACAATAATTTGATGTTCAAGTAATAACACAGTGAAAATCCCTGCCGGCGACTGTGTCAACACTGTGTTATTTAAGTGCAATTTTCACGTTACGGAATTCCACTGACATAAAATGACTAATCGATATTTCTGAAACTCAAAAACAATAGAAGCTTCACTTTTAAAAAGAATGTATTACTTTGAGCATCAACTTGGCACTGCCTCGACCAAACCAAAAAATCTTGTGCAAATTAATAAAGAATTTAATGCTTTTCGCGTTCAGGAGATCTTCAAGCGAATGCGACAGCAAATTTGGATTGTATCTATTTAGAGGTGAGCCAGTTAGCCAATTCATTGGAAATGAGACACCGAAAGAAATACCTCATCCTTAGCGGAGTATCTGAAAAGGCTGATGAGAATAAAGCTGGTATTGTTACCACAAATAAAAACAACCTTGTTCCATTCTTTTATGTTGACACAATGAATCAAAATACTTTTTAGACTTACGATTCATCCCCCGCACCGAGGAAAAAGAGCACACACTGTAATCATGGAAGAACGCTAACTTTTTCGGTATGCGTAACGTTTGGACGCTGGACGGAAATATCACGATTAAATTGCCAGATGGTAACCGGCAAATAAGTGTGTACTTCTGAAGACCTTAAAAAGTTTGTTCTTGGTAAGAAATCGGATCCTGTCGGCCAGTTGTTATCAGGTGTCATGCAGCTCGTGCATCATGAAATGTAGTTGTAGCACGAATGGGTCGGCTCGTAGCTTAATGCTGCTGTGTTTCGTATGGTGGGTGTAGAGATCCGGAGACCCTTTTTACCGGAAATGAGGCATTCCACCTATGTCCTCACAGATGACAACGCACCTGCATTTTGATTCGTAATCGAGGATAGATGTAGATGTCTATGGGCCACAGCAACCGCTTACCATCAGGTGGACTGTGTGCTCGTTTGTCATCCTATCCTATAAAAAAAATCCAAAAAAAAATCAGGAAAGTCTGAACTAGCATATACCAGACGTGCTTGTAAGATTAAATAATGTGTTTTTTTTTGTGGAATCTCTGTAGTGAAATCTCATTTCAATCATAATTGTTTTACTGATAAACTAATTGCAATATATTAAGAATACCTAAAGTCAAACTCCTTTTTCTTTCAACTCTTTTTATCCTATATATTTTTATTATAGTCAAACATAAGAAGACAATTTTTGGTCTATTTAGTGTAGTAATAATAAGCATTTGTTTATTTTTAATTAGGATCATTACTTTTGTTTTAAGCGTCTTGTTTTATTCCTTACACCAGATTAAGTAGTTACTATTTCTATTCATAACCTACAAGTTACATAATACTTAATTATAGTGATTTCATTAGGTACATAATACATTAGTTCTAGGATTTAAGTCATTACATTGTATACTCAGATGAAGTAAAAAAAGAAGATATCGCACCTAGAACAAGAAACCGTAACCAATTTTATAACTTAGTCTGGGTCAGAGAAGTGTTGCTACTTTTTTTTAAAAGTCCCTGAAAATCGAGACACAATACTACAACTATGAGAGTAATATGCGATGTGAATGCGAAATTATATCTGTCTGTTTTAGTAAATTTCAACAATTTGACAACTAAAAAAAAGATGAAGCTCCTAGGAGGCGTCTGTAGATCATTTAAAAGTCTTCTTGATAGATTGTCCAGTAAGCATGTAAGCATCGATAAAATATACAAAATATGTAATGTAAAACATGTTTATTATAAAAAATAATTTAATACTAAAAAAAACTGTTGGAATAAAAAATAAATTTCCATGGAGTTAAAAATATACTTTTCCAAATGAAAAAAAGTATATTTTAGTAAATGCAAAATAAAACAAACTCCAGCCGAGGGCACAAAGGAGTGTTCTAATTTGTACCCCGGGCCCGGGTAGGAGAGATATGAATTATCAGCCGTAGAGAACACCTAATTCTCGGGTAAAAAGAGCAAGGTCGGCTGCACCGTCTCCAGGTGGTAGTGGACAGCATTAAGATTGGAATGGAGTGTCCTGATGTTGCAAAAATTCACGGATAGCGTGACAGGGGTCGCCTTGGTCTTATTGCTCCGCTTGCCACTAGCAGTTTTAGTCGCGAGCAGAATTCCCTCATCCCTTCCCCCAGAATACGCGGAGCAGTCTAAGCACCCACGCTCAGGAAGAGTAAAGTAGCTTGCTCGTGGATACTCAGCCAGGGATTCTCCGTCACCAGTAGTGAGGGTACCCTCTTGGAGTAGTTTTTATTTGATTCCGCTACGATTTTAAGTAGGAGGGGAAATTGGGCCTCCAGCCCAAGCGAAACGCAGAGGTAAACCTCTACTTCACGCAGGTATACTGTGAGGTCGTGGTACCACCCTAGTTCAAGCCGTCTCCAGGTATATTTATTTATATTTACAGTATTTTATATTTATTTTTGTATTTACACTTATGGTATATGTATTTTTATATTTACATTCACGAATAAATTATTCTCACGTTTTATGGAACCTCCTAAAGTTCTCTGCTTAGCTCGTGGTTGGCTGGTAGAGAATGCCTAAAGGCATTAAGTCCGCCAGTTGTACATTTTAAAGTGCAATAAAGTTTTTAAATAAATAATAAAATAAAATAGTTTTTCCGATCCATCACTCCAAATATCTGCTGGATATGAACGTCGTCCACTGTAGGGATAGCTGATTGACGATCGCAGCAGTGGACGTCGGGCATCTTTGCTGCTGCTGCCCGTCGCCGGTCTGGTTATTGTACATCTGGTGTAAGCGGCATGGTTGTACTGCCTTCTACCGAAGGCCCTAAGTCTACACTCACTAAAAGCACCAACGTGAGAGTACTACTAAACTAAGAGAACCTCGTGAAAGCCGAAACAGATAAGCAAACAAAATGCCTGGACCTGGCTCACGAGGTGACCGAAATGTGGGATGGTCTGCCAACCGAAATTATTACTGTAGTCGTCTCTGCGAATGAGCTATTATCCCGTTCAGCCTCTCGGGTCAACTAAGACGACTGGGACTCCGTGACGGATCGCTCCGTGCTCAAATGCAGAAGGCGGTGCTCCTCGACACCGCCCGTATTGTCCGCCGGTATCTTTCTCTTTCCTCCTAACCCTCGGCCGATTGGTCTCCCCTGCCGAGGGCTTCTATCTGGTTGTACTTTTATTTATTTATGTATTTTGTATGTATTTATTTTATTTTATTGATATTCATATATATTTATCATTATCATTCACAACCATATATTTATGGAACTAAACCAGATGAGAAAACCATATAGATACCCCAATAATAATAATAATATCTTACCCGGGTGGAGTTTGTATCAAATGTGTTTTTGGTATATTTTGTATTTCTTCAGCGATCAATATTTTCTGTCTGTTTTAGTAAATTTCAACAATTTGACAACTAAAAAAAAGATGAAGCTCCTAGTAGATCATTTAAAAGTCTTCTTGATAGATTGTCCAGTAAGCATGTAAGCATCGATAAAATATACAAAATATGTAATGTAAAACATGTTTATTATAAAAAATAATTTAATACTAAAAAAACTGGTTGGAATAAAAAATAAATTTCCATGGAGTTAAAAATATACTTTTCTAAATGAAAAAAGTATATTTTAGTAAATGCAAAATAAAACAAACTCCAGCCGGGGGCACAAAGGAGTGTTCTAATTTGTACCCCGGGTATAGGGTTTGTGTCCCTGGACGTCTCGTGTCTCGAAGTCCCGGGACTTTTTCGTAATTTTAGTTGTCTCGAGTCCCGGGATTTTCGGGTCGAGATTCGAGGCGAGACAAGATTGTTGAAATTATTATGTAATCATTTTTATTTTCAAATAATTGAAGGAGCCTAGAGCCATCCGTTAGTTCAATGTCTAGTCTACTACGTAACTACTGAGCAACAATAAATGTGTTTGCCGCGCTGCCATCATGCCGCTATATTAGTTGTTCTGTGACGTTGGGATTATGATTGTGTCTGTGTCAGTTCAGTCAATCAGTCGTCAATATCATTTATGATGTGAATGTGGCGTTGTGTTTCTTTTTAACTCAGTTTACTACTGGATGTTAAAACAAGGTGGAATTCTATCATTGTGATGGCGGAACGGTTTTTGAAGCTCAAAAATTGCGTGAAGAAAGCGTTGATTGATTTAAACATCTTAGATAATTGGAATGAAGGCAATCTTCCTCTTTTGTAGTTAATTGTTGATTTGTTGCAGCCAGTCAAGATAGCTGTGGGTTCTTTAGGCCGATAAAACGCTTCATTGCTTACAGCTGTAGCAATAATCGACGAGTTGCTTAAAAGATTCAATCGACAACGACTATTAATGATTTGGCGAAGCGGTTCTTTGAAACTTTGAAAGCTCACCTAGAAAAGAGAAGACCACAATGAGTTGTATACTTGTTAAAATATTTGCACACTGGCCACCACACCTCATAGTCGTAAAACACGGACTTTTTTACCTCCAATATTAGTAAAACTGAACTAATTGGCTTTGCGGATGATCTGTAACAATACAAAATAAAAATACAAAAAGAAACAAAGGCTTTTCGAAAATATGCCTGGTATCAGGACACCAGATGTAGGAATAATGGGCGCTGAATCTAGTACTAGTAGCTCTCAAGTTCAAAACGAGCCCTACGAGTATCTTTTAAATCAAATTGAACAAGCAAAAATTTTCCTAAAAGTCTCCAAGTCCCGGGAATTCCCGGACTTTGACTTTGACTGTAGGCTGTCTCGTGTCCCGGGACTTTGAAATTGTGAACCAGCCTACCTCACCTAATGTGAACCAGCTCTAAGGCTGTAATTACTGGATGGACGGACGGATGAATTGAAACAGTTGTTTATTGAGTCTGCGAGCTATTGCGAAAATAAATCACGAAATGTGGTTACGTAATATTATTCAAGAAAATATATTATTATATTAATAAAATATAGATTGATATGATTAAAATATAGATTAATATTAATAAAATATAGATTTATATTAATAAAATTTAATGAAGCCAATAAGAATCCTCCCTCCATCTTGCTCTTGTTCTTGTCATAATTTACACATCATGTCCTCTAAATGTATAGTTTTATTTTTTACGCACAAAGAATGCAGGTTTTCTCGTGGCGCAAAATTTTTATAAAAAAGTTTGTGGTACCGGTGTCAAGTGAGCTCTTGCTCCCTTCAATTATCTATTCATCATCATCTTCAATTATGGTGTCATTTTAGCCCTTCGCAAGTTCACTATTGAACATAGGCTTTCCCCAAGGAACCCCTCAAAGCACGGTCCCGAGCGACCTGCATCCTTCGATGCCCCGCACATCTTACCAGGTCGTCACTCCATCTAGTGAGTGACTACACTTCGCTTGCCGGTACGAGGCTCGAGAAACTTTCTTCCCCATCAGTTGTCCGTTCTTCAAGCTATATGGCAGACACATTGTCACTTCGACTTACTAGCTTTTGATAATTGCTTATAGCCCAACGGAGTAGTAACAATC